TGAGATTTTAAGGTATATTTTGAGGTTTTAAAGTTATCTTTAACTTTATTGGAAACTGTTCAACCGATAAAATTTTACTCTTTTTAATAATTTGTTGAATGATTATAAAATTATATCTTTAAAAATACTTTTGTAAAAGAATGTAAATTTCTTAATTTTTGTGTTATGATCCAAAATATCATATATTAAGTAATGGAGGAAGTAAAATTTATCAATAAATAAATATAATTTGATTTTATATACTATCCAATTTATAATAATATTTATGTATCTTATAATATTATTAATTTAAAATTTATAAATTTGTATTTTTGTAACAATTTTTAAAAATATTATTATGTAACGTTACTAATTTATATATTTTATTTTATTTCTAAATATAAAATATATAAAAAGTAAATTAAATTGGACCTACGTAATACATAAACAAAATTTTGGGTTATTGTTAAAAGTATATTACATAATTTTAATTTTTTCTTAAAAAAATGAATCAAATAAATTATATTCTATGATAATGAATTTTTTAATCAAATAATTTTTGAAACTATATCTTGAAAAGATTCTATAAGATTTTTTAAAGATTTTGTTAGACTTGTCTTAAAATTATTTATTTGTATTTCAAATAAAATTTAAAGATATGAAAAGATATTATAATGATGTTATGTTATATAAAATTTCTAAGGGTGATCCAAACTTAAAAATTACACATGAAGTGAGTCATGACTTCTCTTTTAATATAATAGATTGTATGGAAACTCCGATAAATGTCTGTTTTTGTTTCAGAAACGTTACCAAATCGAATTCTCTTGGAAACTTGAGAATACTTTTTGAAAACGCGTTTTTTGAAATTTTCATTTTGGAAAGACGATATAAACTTAAGTTTTCCGTTCTATGCAACCTAGTTTAAATCCATGTTTTAAACAGATAGCCATATTATTAGCTTCAATCCCTAAAACATGGCAAAATCTTTTACTTGTTCAAAATTTTGAGCTATAAATTTAACCACTGAGTTCAAGATGATCACTAACTCGGCAAGGTTCAGGCCAAAGCCATATTTGTGTCGTACTCAGCGAGTAAGAGAAGAATCAAAGTGAACAAAGATAAAGCCTGACAGATTCATATAATTTTTGCTTTCTTTGCGGTAAGATTAATCGGAGAGAGGTAGTGTAATATAAGTTCTTCAGGCGCATAGACAAGGAGCTCTAGTGAAGTGTTACTAATAACCTAAAACTTTGGGGGCTAAACACAAACTAATAGATCTTTGTGTACCAAAAGAGTAACGCATTCAACAAAACATGGGAAACTTATGTACACAGCCCAAAAAAAAACAGGTTTAAGGTTGAGCCGTGGTTTCATGACCATATCAAAAGCCAGCCTCAAGAAACATGTCTCCTTTCAGTTTGTATCAGTCGATGGATCGCTGCTGCCTTGGGACGACGGGAACAAGCTGGTAAACAACCATGGAATTGCGAACTCAATCCCATCACCATCATCATCGCTCTCCTCCTCTTCTTCTTCTTGCTCAGAGTGGTGACTGTTCTCACTTCCTTGGCTGCTTGTAGAAGAAGAAGACTCACTTCCACCATCGTTACCATTTGGTTCTGTTCTTGCGGAATCCGTCCTTGTCTCATCCGAAGGTAACTCATACCTACAAACAGGGCATGAACAATGAAGCTCAAGCCAAGGGAGCAAGCATTCACCATGAAACCTGTGTTTACAAGGCATCTCTTTCGCTTCCACCCCAATCTCAAAATCATCCAAACACACTGAACACTGTAGTCTAGCCTCCTCTTCGATTTTGACACTAGCCAAAGCCTCAACAGCATCTTTTTGAGCAGGAGGTGTTCCGTATCTGTTGTGATCATCCTCTGCCAAATGCTGAAGCAAGGCTTCGAATGCAGGACCGATGAAATCATCACTCAAAGAACCAGCAGACACCACGATCAGGCGTCCTCTCTCTCTACCACCACCATCGCCATTACTCTCATGCATAACGGAAACGGAACTTCTGCCTCTTCTTCTCCTGAGAATCTCTTGGAGCTGAGAATCCACATCGTTTCCACCAGCTTCATTCTCGGTCTCAGCCTCGTCGTTTTGATTATCTGGATCACTCATGAGCTGCATCAAGATGGGAGCCAAGAGAGAGTTGTTGTTTGGTCTGTGATCATGTCCATCTGGAGAGTCTTCCTCCTCTTCCTCCTCGTCAGCCATCTCTTCAACAAACCCACTAGCACAAAAGGGGCATTTGATCTCAGATTCCATTAGTGGATCCACCGTTCGAGTACACATGTGGCACCACCAGTACCTCGTCCCTGCGATTGCTTCTTCTTCCATTGTTGAGATTCCTCCTGTTCTGTTTATTTTTATAGACAAAACAGAAAAAAAAACTCAGGCTTTTAACCCCCAAACGGTTCCACAAGAGAGCAAGAAAGATCTACATCAATAGTCGGCTAAGCTACTTTCATGAATAGAATCTAACCCATTTCTTTCGGTTTTAGCCTAGAACCCTAGACATCATACCCTAGAACAAGTCTCCAAGAAAAAAGCCATTTTTCGAAAACTCATAGATAATTCCAAATAATAAAGTAGATAAAAAAGCGATTTCAGGATCCAGAGGAAGAGAAGAATCAGTTTGGTTAAGTGTTTCTTGGTCCGATTCAAAGAAATATACACACACGTCCCATTTACTATCGTAAAGTAAGCACTTTTTTAAAAAAACCTTCGAGTCTTCTTCTTCTTCAAGAGCAGAAAGCGCAGGAATTTCTGATTTTTTTTTAAAAGCTAAAACCGAAAGAAAGGGTCTAGTTAGTGGGATTTGAATATATCAGGAAACGAGGAGGACGATGACGATAGATTCCAGATCTTTTTGGGCTGCAGCTTACTTACTCATTAATTAATTAGAGTGGACTTTTTCATTAATTAAACTTAATTAATTAGATTAGCTGACTGATTATTAGATCAGATGACTTTTCAAAGAAAGATCACTGAAACTAACTCTTGCATTTTTGTTGGATTTATTATTTTATTGGCTTCTTTTTTTTAAGCTCCACTTTCTCGTGGTCGTGTGCTTTACTGTTTTTTTTTGATATAGCCTATTGTATGGGCTTACACGTTTTGATTAACTAAGAGCAGCATTACAGTTGCTCAACGGTGCGCATTTGGACGGACACAAGAAGAAGACCTCAGTGTTCTTTTTATTTTCAGGTGGTTCTAGTTTCAAGTCAAAGAGCAAACTCGAATTATGATTCAAACAGGATTAAAACCATGTCTAAACCTAATCTCCCTACATTCTTTCTTATCATCTTCATACTCTATCCACTGCAACCCAAAAGAAAGAAAAATGTATACCAATTTACTACACAAAAGAAAAAACCTGGAAAGAATCATGATATGCATCAAGTCGATTCTTACTCTAATTCTAACCACATCTATCTCCCGAACCCACAAAAAGTAAATATTTTCATAAAAAAAAAAAAATAATGAAAAAAGTAGCAACTGTGCTTACTTGTCGTCTAACATATATAGTCTCTCATCTTCTGGGAAGTGGTATATATATAATCTCCTAACTTGGAGATTATTTAAAGGTCTTCGAATCCTCTAATCTCAGCTAAATGCGAAGCAGGCACTTGGTTGTTTGGACGCTAAAATAGCACCACCGTTGTTGAATGGAGTTTGCTCATAATGATGATGAAGACATCCATCCATCCCCGGCTGCTTCAAACCTCTCTCTTCCTACAAAAAATTGAATCAAGAATTTCCTTATGAAGTAAAGGCAACGAACACATTGTGCAATACGAGCAGGAGCCATGAAAACAAAAAAAAAGAAGGTTGAACCAATGGAGAAACTAACATCAATTGAATGTAATGATCTGGATCCGGGGGATTTAAGCTGTGAGGAGGCTCCTCCTGCAGCAGATGGTGATCCATTGTTCTCAGCTGAATAATAATGATTCACCTACAAAAGGACACAAAGATTAACTGTGACTAATGAATGACTTGTAAAGGGTACATCATACCAAAGAGCTAAAGGAAGAGAAGAATCATCAAACTTTATGCAGTCTATTGCATTGCCTAATACCGTTCTCACAAAACTCTTTCAAGATGGTAAGCTTGACTAAAAAAAGAGGAGTGTACCTTGGATTGGGGCTCTTCAAAAAGAGAGGTTTAGTAAGCAGGGTCATAGATAGAACCACCCAAGATCTCTTCAGCAGCACCTGAAGAACACTGCCTGCCTATAGCAGCAGGTGTTGGTGGATTCAAGAAACTATTCCGCAAATCAGAATCCGTTTCACGGGGAAGCAGCAGCAAAGTGTCTATAAATCTGAAACCACAAGAGAGAGGAAGATAGCCTGACAAGGAAACCAATCATCTCCATAGCCATGGTCAGCTTCACCGAGAATATGTAAAAGGTTCCGTACGTCTCTACCGAAATGCTCCTGCAACATCATCGAATGTTATTTGTCAATCAAAGGCATTGTCAAGCGATGATTCACATACCAAATCTCTTGGGTGAAGAGGATGAATTATGAGATATCGAGAAGAAGAGCAGAGAAAAGGAGAAGGAGGTAGGTGCAGCCTAGACTTTGGCTGTTGCTCTCGATTGCAACAAGCGCGAACAAAGCAATCGCTAAATTGATAAGTAAAACTCCGTTGTATAATGCTCCTACTGATCCAATTAGTGCGCAACCAATCTGTAAACAAAAAACCAATCTCGATGAATCACTCAAAAACAGATTCGAATCAAGAGAGAGAGAGGGACCTGGATGTAAATAAGGAAGACGGCGAGAGATATATATTCGTTTCGTTTGTCTTGGCGGGATCACATCGAAATCGAACAAGACCAGCAAAACCAGTACTAAAATATATTTTCTCTTTTCAAAAGTGAAAATAAAATAAAAAATCAAGGGACACTGGAGTAACGCCCCTCTCTGCTCCTTCCTAGTGCCTCCCTTCCTTCCCACTCCTTTATTTCTCCTTGCTCAGTTTGTTTACAACTCTCTAAATCCAAAATCACTTTATATGCAACATGTTATCTATTCTTATACATTATGACTACTAGATTAAATAATAATAGACATCTACATATAAATAAGCCAAATTGGCTTTCACAATCATGAAAAAGCGCAATTGTAATGTAGCATTAGCCATTATCAAAGGCATTAAGCCACGTGAGAGTTCAGTCAGCATGGGCTCACTAACATAACTACCTTTCAATTAAAACAAAAGGTGTCCACAACAAACACACAATCATTATCTAGATAGCATACGACTTGATAGAGTAACAACTTTCTTGAGACCGTGATTAGATCTAAGTGAAGATGAGACACTTTTCTTGCATTGCACAGATATGTATGTCTCATTTTCTCATCTGTGTAAAGAGCTCCGATGGCTTTCCTCCTCCTCCCGTGTTGCCACCAAAGGCTGCGAACCCACCACCACCGCCTTGCCCTTGCCCTTGTCCTTGGCCAGCGAAACCTCCAAAACCACCACCTATCAACAAGAAAAAAAACGGTCAACATGTATGTACTACATATCAATGTTTAAGATGCTATATATACACATACCTCCTGATGCTCCGAAACCTCCACTATTAGGAGGAGCAAAGCCTCCAAACCCTCCGGATCCTGAACCAAGTCCACCAAATCCACCACCTCCTCCTGGAGCAGCACCCGCGAAACCACCACTGCCTGAGGCTAAGCCAGCGAATCCACCTGTTGGACTAGTAGAAGCCCCTGCGAATCCCCTACCAGCCGAAGACGCCATGGCGGCAAATCCACCACTGGCACTAGAGCCAACACCTGCAAACCCACCAGATGCTGGTGCATTTGGGAGGCCACTTCCTGGGTTAGAGCCACCAAATCCGGTGGGAGAACCAAACGTAGCTCCCGGGAGACCAGCACCTATCTGCCTACTCTGCCCAAACGAACCAAGTACCGATCCTAGAGCTTGCTGTCCTCCGCCAATCTGCGACGGTTGGCCAAATCCGCCCTGACTGGGAGTTTGAGAAGGTGTTGTTGAAAACCCACCAAAACCTGTCGGTTGAGATGGTTGAGGATTTTGAAAACTGAATGATGCAGGTCGGAATAGCTCGCCACTGGGCACTGTCATATTGAACGGAGTACTTGTTGCTGCTGTAGCATTACCAAATGAACCACCAAACGGATTTGATTTCGGAGCAGCCGGGTTTGGAGTTGACCCAAGCCCAAAACCTCCAAAACCACTCATACTAAGTTCAGTCGTCTGGCTAGCCTCTGGAGCTTCTTCGTCCATTTCATCTTCCTGTGTATCTACAGTTTTCTCACCCAATGGACTTGCGGAAGTTGAAAAAGATGCAGGGAAAGAGACAGGTGTCGGCGATGGCTGTTGGGGCTGAGAACTACCAGGCCAACTGAATGAAGGAGGCGGCATACTTACAGGACTAGACTGTGTTGCGGATGAAAATCCAGAAAGGAACCCAGATGAACTGACAGGAGTTGTTACTGTAGTCTCTGAGGTAGAAATTTCACTTTTCACCGGCAGCAGCTCAGTCTTTGATGTTGTTGCCTTTGCTACAGGGTCTGCAGTACTTCCCGTACTTAGAATTGAGGAACTTTGACCCTCTGGTTTTTTAGGTTCTGAGACTGGCTCTGTAATGGACACAGTAGACGACGGCGTAGAAACTTGAGGAAACTTAAACGCGCCAGGAGGGGTAGAAGTAATAGGGGGAGTTAAAGATGAAGAGGTTGATGGAAACAAACGATTACTGTCTGTTAAGGAATTGGTTGCAGAGACCAGACTAGTTGACGCTTGTGATGCTGTAGAAGATGGTGGAAATAACGAAGATTGGCCTGTTGAAGATGAGACAATTTCAGGGGAAGACGGAGACGAAGCTGGTAACTTAAAAGAAAAACCAGCTGCAGGGCCAGGTGATGGAGAAGGTGTTGACGCAGCTGCTTTATTGAGATCTAAACTGGCACTGGTCAACGATTTACCAAATGGAACACTGATCCCCGTAGCTGAAACTGTAGATGTAGGTGCGACCGAACGTGTTTGTGGGACTGATGCTGAGCTGATGGGAATAGATGTCGGAACTGAAACTGACAATAACAGTGTCATTAACCACATATTAAAGTTATGATACTTGAATATTATGTTAATCAAACGAAATAGACAGAGGACAGAGAATATATACCTGAATCTTTCGTAGGGGATGGCAATGAAGGTGATGACGGTGTAGGTAAGGGGGAAACAGAATCAAGTGACGTGCTAGACAAAGGTGAAGATGAAACTGATACCGTTGCAGCAGGAGAAGTTAATTTATTACCAGAGATACTGCCACTGGTATTGAAACCAAACAGAGATTGCACAGGGAAACTAGATGCAGGTGCACCAGTAAGCGGCTGCACACTTCCAGCAGCTCTATCAGGAAACATACTTGCCTTCCCTTCAAAAAGTTTAAATCCTCCAGCCTTCTTTTCTGCCTGTTCAAATACAGTCGGTGCCTTTGTGTCATTGCTCTGAGACAGGACAGGTTCTTCAGCATAGGAAGCTATACTGTTTGACTTATTTCCAGACCAATTGAAACTTGGCTTTGATGCAGGTACTGGAGAGAGGGTAAAGGGACTGTTAGATTGTGGCATAGATGGCCTTGATTTGAACGGTGTTGACTGAACTTCAGATGTGTCTTGTTGGAATGAGTTCATTATTCCTGCACTTATTGATAACATAGTCAAACTAGAGAAGAACATGTTTCAATATCAATGCACTCCACAACAAATCTAAGGCTCACCCTTATTCGAGGAGACTACAGGTGATGCATGATCTTTCAGGCGAAGCAGTGATTGCTGTTGTGTATTAACTGTGGGCCGTACTCTCTCACTCGACAAAGTCTGTTGATTCATACCCGTCTTCCGTTGCTCCTGCAGAAGCATCCTTTTGACAGTTGTTTTTGGAGGCTCAAAAGCAGCCCAATTCTACACAAGGTCACAAAAGTAGAGCCAAACGTGAGGTACACCGTAAATTAGAAAGTGCATATATTGTTTCATCTAGAACTGAATCGAAGGTTTCCCACAATTACCCTGTCTAATGATTCTCTCCTCCTCCTCGCAGTTTCAGGGTCAGAACTCTTCGTACCAGATGAGTGACGTTGTCTTGACTGTGCATTTATACTTGCAGGAATCGAAGAGAGTAATAGGTTTTTGGCTGAAGAAGCATTGTTGGCTTTTACAGCATCTGGCGAGTTGAATGAAGCATCATAAGCGATCCCAATTGTCTCAAACAACTCCTGCTTCACATTCTTTTTGACAGGTGAATCGATTTTCAAAAAGGTCATTTGTTTTGAGAGACAGTCAGAGAGTTGCTCAGCAGCTGCCAGTTGGGAACTCATTGTGTTATGAAGGCTATGAAGGGATTGCACACGTCTGCAGAAATAATCAACCCAAAATTTTTCAGTGGTGGAAAGGGGAGAATATGGTCAACTAAAACAATTTCTTGCGATATTTTTTTTAGTAAAATTTCACAACCGCAAAATATACCTTGAAGGAGCAGACTTATTTGGCACACCTCTTCGGGCCAGAGGAAATCCTCCATCGTCTTGGTAGCGATCCAGTTCAAGCCGATTAAAATATCTCTCTAATTCAATCAGTTGATGAGTCAAATCCTGAATGAGAAGAGTAGAACATAAATGACAGAACGAGCTTAAAACTGTAATAGAGAGATGAGTGAGATATAGCAACCCATAAACAACCTTGTTTAGTTTCACAATATGCTGCCGCTTTGCTTCAAGCTCAGGACTCAACCTCCGGCGGTTCCAAAGTTGCCAATACTGGTCATCAGAAGTTTGCTTATACATGCCTTCCATGTATGTCTTTTTTGCCAAAACTGAAATCCCCACATGAAGGAATAATAAGACAAACAAAATAGCAACCTGATAATTTGCAGCCTAGATCGCAGTAGAAGATATGAAACAGTATTAAATATTTCCAGAGACCAAAGAACAAGAAAAATGTAGCATAGGGGCTTCCAGGGAAAATATGGAAAAAAAAAAAAGGCAAAACCCACATTCATAGCGCAAGCTTTATGGTAATATCATCCTGGAACTTCACGCTATTTCTCACCATCACATCAAAATATCAGATGTGAGAATACTGTACCTATCACCACGTATCCCAGTAAAAGGGTACATACCTATATAAACGTGGGTTAATCTATCCGGATTTTTACCCAACTTCTCAACATCTCGATTTAAGTTGACATTTGAAATCTAGTGGTTAGTGTCTAGAGATGTGATGGATAACAGTTAAACTTGCCTCTTTCGTCACTCGTATCTAGGTATTACTGGTAGCGCTTAGAAGAAAACAAGACAAATCTACCTGCTAACAATACTTCGTGCTACATACTGGGATGATAAAATAAATAGATCACCTTGAATTGTTTTGTCCAGAAGATGTTGGATCTCTCCTTGCTGTTCGTGAGTTATGCTCTGAAGAGAACCAAATCAAATTAGTTAATAATAAACAGAGAAAGTACCAGGATCAATTACAGTATTTGTATACTGGATGAGGGTTGTTTGGTCAAATATCAAAGAGGTGCAAATTAATACGAAGCAATAACCAAATACATGAAATTTTAAATGCACCTCGCACGTTTGGCACTTGGCAGCAAGAATTTCAAGCCCTTGCTCCATTTCTTCAATATGACTTTTAAGTAATGAGGTGCAAGAATCCTTGAAACCACCTGGTCCTTCAATGGACTGTAAAAGGGCATCCATTTCTCTGGCCATCTCATTTATCTGGCAAAGAAAGAAAGAAAGAGGTACGTCAATGACATAAGTTCAGTACGATAAATACTAGAGCACCATGAATGTGAAAGCATGAGAGTTCCGAATACCCTTTCCTAAAATACATAATAACATGAATAAGATCATACAGAAACGTAAGGTGAGAAAACTTTACATTACTGGGTTGCTTTGACATGTTTTGCTCAAATCTCAGAGGTCCAGCACTGAGCGGAGTTTTGTGCTGCTGATGATTAGAGGACTTTTCGAAGGAAGATTTCACTTGTAGTGACAATTGAGAAGCACGGATAGACGGTAGGGGCTCGATTTTTTCTACCCCTTCATCAGCGTCCTGACTTTGGCCTAGCGGAGGAGTTAGAATGCTCAGCGCTGCTGCTCTAGCGGTCTCAATAGCTTGTACAGGCTTCTCTTTGATGCTCGTCGGAGGATTCACATAACCAGTTCCAGTCTTTTCAGCTTGCTTTTGCTGAGTATCTTTCACCGATGGAAACAGACTGGAGCCAAAACTTGGAGGTGAGACGCCTTTCCCATTTGACCATAGCCGAGCTGGTGTATTTTGTGGTGGCGTAACACTAGCGTTCTGAGGGTCCGAAAATGCAAATAAGCCAGGTGTACTCTTTGAACCAAAACTGGTCTGAAAATTCATAGACTTAGACTGCTCCGATATGTCTTTCTGAGGTTTATCAGGAACAGGGAAGATATGACTGAATCCTGCAAATTTGTTGGTTTCGTTTCCTAAGGACGAAGAAGGTTGCCCAAAACTTGTTCCGAACTGCCTAGGAATTATGCTTTGTTGACCATCTACAGCTTGTAATGATCCAGCATAGAGTTCTTGTTTCACGTTGTTGTCCCCAGTTACTAAACTTTTTACAGACACATTTTCTTTCTTAGAAATTTCTTCATTTGGGAACCTTTGTTCGGTGTGCAACTGAGAAACTGAATTCTCTGAGTTGAGGTTCTTCTGTTCTTTTTGTACCACAACATTAGAATTTTGTTGTTGTTCAGACTCTTCAGAAGATTGTCCAAGACGATCATCTCCAATTGAAGGGGCATAAGCATCTTCTATATCAGAAGAAGAAGAAGAAGCCAAATCAACATCAGATGAAGCTGGAAGTCCTGAAACACTGTAGAGTAACACAGTTTTAATGTCTCCTGTAAGGTTGTTATGGACACTGAGAAACTTATAACCATTGTGAGAGATAAAGCCTACCTAGCAACATTATACATGACCAGCTTTCCTTCCAAAGTGAGGCACACGAGAACACAAAATGGAGGGAGTTCTTGTAGTTCATCATTTCCGGAACGGACATTAACGGTCCCCTCAACAGAAACCATATCTATACAGAGTCCCATGATCATGTTGTCGTCTCCATTTTCTGGAAAAAAAAAGAATTACATTTTTATATCAAACGCGTAAAAGCACAAATACAATACAGCGATCAAGACTGCATACCTTGGAGCCCAATCCTTGGCAAAAAGGTCTCTCGGTCAATATCAATAACGGAAACTGCACTTTCATCATCACTAGGTGACCAATTAAGCAAAACAATATGCTCATCTATGCTCTTCCTGTTTGCTGTGATCGCCAGTTTGCTGTATGAAAATAAAGAGAAGTTAGCAAATATTATACCATCTTCAACCCTGAAAATGGTGGTAGATTACTTTGTCCATGTTTCTTATTGTGATAAGAAGAAATTTCAGAAATAACTAGACTGACTTTATTACGTCACCATAACGAAAATGGTAAATATCATAGGAACTTGTATAGTATTGAGTACAGGAGCTCAAATTTACTTCTATAGAAAACTAGGAACATGTATCAAGTATCACAGTTGGTTGTATTTATAAAAACACTATCATTCGTGAACCTTCTTGGTAATTTACAGCTTTTCCAAGTTGGTTACGTATGGGAGAAAAAATCTTAAGATCGTATGTTCAATCTAGAGTGGAAAAGATTAACATATGGCTTGCAAGGGGCAGGGAAATTCCAACAATTATGAAAGGTAAAAGAAAACAAAATAAAAAGAGCGGCAAAATTAGCATAAAATACCATTTGTCTACGTAGCTAAAGAGCAAATGAGGTCCAACACCAACCGGAACAAGATCATCCATTGAACATGGAAACAAATCAGAGAATGATAAAGCAACCAGATTAGACGAACCCTGAAAAGACAAAGCTCAAGAAGTGAAAACCAGATAAATATATACATATGCGGAAGGTATATATCATGTTTCATTCCATCTCAAGTAATAGGTTACTCACATCAGTAATCTTCCCATCTGGACTCCTGATAACCTGAACGAGGTAATTTTCTTCCATGCCATCAATCAGCTGAAAGCATCCGAGAAGAATACAGTTCTGGCGGACCCATCTGATAGAATCAACTGTTACAGAGCATTGTTGGTAAACAGTCAGTCATTGGGAGGGTTTGAATTCAGAGCCATCTATGAAACTTTTCAATGGTAGTGTGCATAGAACGAGGGAAATTTCAACACCATCTCAAGAACAATAAGAATGTTACCAAGATTGAGACAGGAGATAGCAAGAAACAAGAACTTCCAACAGGATCATATTGTATGTATAGGAGTAGAGTACGACTCAGTCGATAAGTAAACACATCATACACCATACAACAACTATGCCATTTGAACCAAAACGGATAATACTGAAGGACAAAGAAAGCCAAAACATGCAACATACCTTTCACAACACAGTTTTCATCAGAATCACCAATCCATGAGTCAAACGATAATGCTATGCACCGCTTCTCGTTAAACTTTGACAACAAAATACGCAGGCTATTATCTTGAGCCACAGCAATATAACTCCCTTTTGAACTCCATTCAACTGAAAAAAGAAAACACAAGTATAAACTCCATAATTACCAATAACATGGTGTATTGTTGTGATTCTAAATGAGTAGCAAAAGAAACGAAACAAACCGGCGTCAACACCATCCATAACATGTGTAGGGGGTGCACTATCAACTCCATGAAAGAGCTTCCCATGGTTTGAAAGAACAAGATAAGAACGTTTATCTTTCCTTGTCCACCGAAAATCCTTAACAAATCCCGACTCATCAGGCGAATAAGAAAACGAAGGCTTTGCATCCTGCACCAAAGGAGAAATAAAGTGAGTAAACTATCCTAAATCCTAGCAAAGGGTCATAGACAAAACTATCCAAATTGTGATTCATACAGAACCGGCATAATACTAATCAAAAAAGGGATTCTAACTAAGCAATAACATGTAGAATGAAGTAAAAGTTAGATAACATGAAAAAGAGATGACCATCTAACACCTTAAACGAGGCTTACAGGCAGACACTAAAGGGTTATAGAGCAATATAACTTGTAGTTGTGTGCTACAAAGAGACTAAAGGGTTTATAGACAACAAAAAAATCCAGCTTGTGTGCTACTTCTACTTGTGTGGTTTCAAAAGCAAGAAAAAAAAAACATTAATCAAAACAAAGGATTCTAACTAAGCATTAGCATGAAGTTAGCATATATATATACCTTGTTAAGAAGTGAATCCACAGAGAAGAAGTGAATCTCAGCAGCGACGGAGGCAGCGAGGAACGAATCATCAGCAGAGAGAGACAATATACGAACGTCCCCAACAGGAACATCCACAAGTGCTATCTCCTGGATACAAACCTTACTACTTTCCTTGGAAGCAGATATTACATCCTTTGTCTTTCCGACAATAAACCCTAATTTTCACACACACACACACACACAAAAAAAAACAAACACGGTCAGATACAAAAGCTGTAAGTAACATGAATCATGGATTTATGAATAATACTAACTAACCGGAGGAATGTGCGATGAAAACTAAGCCGAGGCGTTGGGAGAGAGCGAGAGGCTGAGAGGGAGGGTTTTCGAGATCGTAGTGAGAGTTGTCTCCCTTGATAGAGAGAGGTTCGCCGATTCTGTCGAAGTAGTAATCGGTGGTTCCCACGCGATCTCCTTCCACCTCCTCTGTAATCTCAGCTTTTCCCATCTTTTCTTTGCTCCTCCTCCTGCAGCTGCTGTTGTTGTTCTAATGGTTTGAAAGCAGGGCTCGTAGTGAGATTTACCGCCGGTGATAATTTGGTCCCGGTGAGTCGATATGCTGATAGTAGTCTCAGCAGGGTTTGTTTGTTTGTTTATATTGGGCCTGGTCGCGTTATGTTAACGGGCCTCACCTGACGTTTAACAAAACGTTGTCGTTTAATCTTCTGTGTGTAGATATTAAATTCAGACTGGTTCTCTCCACTAAACCAGAATTCGGTTTTGTTGGTTCTTGAACTCCCGACGGCGGCGTTTATCTGCTCCTTGCCGTCTTCGTTTGCCGAAAACAGACCAGATTTGAGAACCATACTTTACCTCAAAAGTGTACAATAATAAAAAAACTCCATAAATTAACAATATTGAACCTATGATATTTTGTTAATTTCTATAATTATTTTTTTACAAATTTTTGGTAATATGTATTGTTAATTAATTATAGAATTATTAATTTACAAAATTTTGGTCTCTGGATTTATATATTTTGATACATACTTTATGTAAAAATAAGAAAATAACTGATTTCGAAAATATATATTGATTAAAATTTACATATACAAAATTCATGTTGGTTTTTCTCGAAATTACTTTACTAATGATCAAATTAATTGTTTGACAAAGCTTGTTTCATTACACCTGGAACAAAAGTAGGATAATGAAAATTAACTTGCTCTGGAATGACATGTTTTGCATTTGATCAAACTGTATTTCTCACCTTCATTTTGTATTTCTTCAAACCTCTTTTCTCATCTCCATACATCACAGAGCGATTTATTACTCGAAAGTTTAGTTGAAAGTCTATTGACCAAATTCACAACATTCTGATTGTCACCTTCCAAGATTATCTTTATTACCGGTCCTGACATGGTAAAGATCAGAAGCAATTTTTCTAAAAATTAACTATTTTTATAAAAAAACGTTTATATACCATAATAATAATTTTCTTCTAAAAAATACTAATTTTTTCAAATATTTTTTGAGGGCTAGAAGCTGTTGCTTGTAATGCTTCCCCTCAAGGTCGGTATTGTTATGTCCATGATTCCAACAATTAATCATCACTATTATCAGGACCGACTCAATACAATTATCGACTCTTTGGTATAACTTCTTTTGAGTTCTATAATTAATAAAAAAATTACAAAATAAATACTAGGAAAAATTTAAATATTTAAAATCTTCTTCAAATAGCTATTTTATTTGTTTCTATTTAATATTTTATTAATAATAAATTTAAATATTTTATAATATTATCTGATTTAAATTTGCATTACATATTAATAAAAATGAAAAAAAATTGACATGGTCCTTACTCCTTGGGGTGGTCCTGCCCCTATACTAAACCGACACTGACCATTATGAGCGCTTGAAGTTCATATTCTAGAGAATTGTTTGGTAGACTATTTGTGCCTTGACCCGCTCTTAACTAAACTCATCTATTATCAGTGGCAGATCTATGTGTGACATCCCATAAAACTGAATAAGTATCTACTTGTATGGAAGAACATTGTATTATCACTAGTTCCATTGATAAAAATCTCCATATGACACCCCTTACCCAGTTTCAAATGTCCCCCCAATGACAACTTGAAATTTTTTTTCTGTTAATTTGATACATGTAATATTAATTATAGATCCGCCACTGTCTGTTATCACATACTATACAACCGGCTTTTGCATTTACATGATCACTCATGAATGAGTCATCAAGTTGCATTTTACAAACTCCCTATATAGCCTTGTCCATTCAGTAACCGGAGTGTGGTGTTGTAGTGGTGATTTTTGGATATAAAATGACAACATCAAAATATTTTGAAGTGTATATCTTACATAATAAAGTTGGTTTTTTTTCACTTCTTGGGGGGAAAAATGCCATGTGTCACCTTATTTTAATGATGTTTTTATATTTATTATATTTAACAAATTTTAGTTTACTTAACAATGTACTTATATTTATTTTATTTTTATTAATGTTATATATGCATTTATATTGTAATGGTGATATATGATTTATTGGTTATAAAATATTTCAAAAGTTTTTCTAAAATAAATATTTATACATCTCTTATATAATAAAACAGATGTTTTTTCTATCCATAGAGACAAAAGATGATACTTGTCATTCTATCATTTGCGGAAAATGTTTTAGGTCCAATTATAAAAAATCTTTTATTTTATTTGAATTTTTATTGACTTTTACAAATTATATGATTTTTAATAAATATTTTTACTCCAGTAAATTAAAAAAAAACATTCTCACTTTTAACCTATTCTTCAAGATGGATGAAAACTTTCATATCTCTAAATATGAAATATCTAAATAAATATCTTTGATTCATAAATCTATTCGCTCGATTTTAAAATAAATATCCTTGATTCTTAAATATACTTTCATTTTGAAATCAATATCTTTAATTTCAAAAGATTTCCGTAAAACGAGAGTTTAAAAGAAAAGAAAAATCTCAAACAAGAGTCAAACCAAAACGAGGAAAATTGAATTACACAACAATTTTGAAATCGAAAGTAAAAAAAAATAAAAGACAATTAAAATCATTTTGAAATCAATATACTTGATTCTTAAATCTATTTGCTAGATTTTAAAATCATATGATTTATTAAGATTTGGATATCCTTGATTTCCGTAAAAAAGTTGGCTTTTTTCACTTCTTGGGGGGAAAAATGCCATGGGTCACCTTATTTTAATGATGTTTTTATATTTATTATATTTAACAAATTTTAGTTTACTTAATGAACCAATAAATGATAATAAAAATTTAAACATTAATTAAAACAAATTTTCTATTTCATTATTATTTTTTGAGTTTTATATTTTAATGCAAATTTACAAATAATTTTAATATATATTTTACAAATAATTTTAATATATATATTTTAATGCAAATTTACAAATAATTTTAATGCAAATTTACAAATTTACTTATATTATTTTATTTTTATTAATGTTATATATGCATTTATATTGTAATGGTGATATATGATTTATTGGTTATAAAATATTTCAAAAGTTTTTCTAAAATAAATATTTATACATCTCTTATATAATAAAATAGATTTTTTTTCTCCATAGAGACAAAAGATGATACTTATCATTCTATCATTTGCGGAAAATGTTTTAGGTCCAATTATAAAAAATCTTTTATTTTATTTGAATTTTTATTGATTTTTACAAATTATATGATTTTTAATAAATATTTTTAGTCCAGTAAATTAAAAAAAAAACATTCTCACTTTTAACCTATTCTTCAAGATGGATGAAAACTTTCATATCTCTAAATATGAAATATCTAAATAAATATCTTTGATTCTTAAATCTATTTGCTCGATTTTAAAATCAATATCCTTGATTCTTAAATATACTTTCATTTTGAAATCTTATACAATAAAATCAAGTTTTCTCCCTTCTTAGAGTGTACACCTCAGCATTTGTGATGGGGGAAAAATGACATGTGTCACCCTTAAAAACAACAATCTCGCTTCTTCTAAAGCTTTCATCGGCTCTCGCTAGGATTTCATTACGTGGGCTCTCACTGATATACGGTTCCTGAAGTCGAATGGGCCTGAATGTAAAAATTGTAAGTCCATATTGATTAGGTTTAGTCATCTTCTTCACTCTGAAACTAAAGAACAATATCTCACTAGCTCACCGCAACGTCTTCAGGTCTCATTAATGACTATTTTATCCCCAGATTTTACGCACTTGACCCACTACACCCTCTATGTACCATTCAATCTACCTCATCACATTCCAGATAAACCGACTGAATCAGCGAGTATAAATACAACCATTTCCATCGATAAAAAAAACGCAACAGCAAAGAGCTCTACAAGGATTGTCTGATCAGCTTGCATATTACATCATCCTTGCCGATTTCAAACCAGAAAAGGCACCATTGATGTGTGAGTTTGAAGAAATAATTAAAGATTCCAATCCACTGAGGAACAAGAGAGACAGAGCCATACCATTAAATTCGATGTGAGACGCTTGGAACTAAGATCAATCAAAGAAACTTTGTCATCTCTGTGAATCACGCCATAAAAGGTACACATGTTTTTGTTAGAGACCGGTCTGGTTAGAGATTCTTGTCAGGAATTATTTCTGGAGCTTATAACTTATAGATTTCTCTGTATAAAGACGAAATAACATGACATGTCTCAGTGGACAGCTTATTACTAATGGGTTACTTGCATTTGTATCTCTATGAATTTGTATCCCACGACTTCACCAGATATACTTTGTTTTCTCTGAATCTCGCAGGAAAGTCGACCAAGCAACCTACCCTTTGTTGAAGAAGAAAGTCTTTGGCAAGAAAGAAAATCTCAAAACCACTCAAAAGCAACCTACCCTTCGTTTTGTGTATACCTTTACTTTCTGATGTGATCTATCTTATGTATTTATTGTGTGTTGCTGATGTACTTTCTACTGAATTAGGCTATGACAATAGCGGATAAGTGTTTTAATGGGAAGACTGTTTAGGCTACTACCCGTATCAAGTAGACAAATCCTAAGCTCACCAATCCAAAGCCTTTCCGACTATGACTGATGTATGATGTGAAGTAATCAAGTAATATGCAACTCTGGTATGTTTTTCTTCTTTGATGGAAAAGAAAAATTATCAAAGACGTAAATATGGAGAAGAAACCACAACATGCTCTTGTCAAAGAAGAAAAAATTTAAAAACATTCTTGCCTTCCATGGTGAAATTTTGGGTTCAAAACATCAGTCAGCTCAAGTAAGTTCTTACTGAAGCATAACCATGATCGTTAATCATGTTTGTTTTTTTCTTTTCTTTTTTTGTGACATACTAATTTCAACTGCAGCTGGAGAAGAACACAACTTCCAGGTCAAATGCTTTTAGAGGAACATCCACAACACTTGATAAACATGATGCATCTGAAGATATGGAAGAGGTAGATAACTGCTTTATCTGAAAACAAAGTGCAGTCTCCAACCTGAGAGATCCTTTTTTCACATGTCAATAACAGTTACATCAGCATGTAACCTGAAACTTTTG